ATTTGACTTCATGCTGATTTAGTTATTCCAACATGTAGTAACTTCTAGACATCTTTGTAGCAAAATATCTTTATTCAGTTATGGCTGGTGACTGTCATTATACATGTATGCCATTTTTTGAGTGAAATGTTGTATTAAAGCATTGCATCCATGAAGCTGCTGTTTTTATAATTAAATGATTTCTTTACTTCGAAGACCAGAAATGCTATCTTTAAAGTAATGTTTGTTTGCCCTCTCTTGACTCAGGGTAAAATTATTGGGTCGGTTGGTGAGAAAATCTTCAACAACATTTCTTTAAGGGGGATTAGAGGAATAAAAAGAACAAAAATACGGCCCTGCATTGAAAAAAGTTTTTAGTCTGGTCATTTTAGTCAGTCGGTCTGGAGAGGCCGACAACCAAACATTTTTTAAAGATGGCCTATTTCTACACTTCATGGACATTAGCTCAATCATTGGATTAGGTAGTCTGAGAATCTAAATTGAAATATCAGACAGAACAAAATATAGATGAATTCTAAGTGACATCAATTCATACTTTAATGAGTTTACAGAGTACTTCTGATTTCAGAGAAAAGGCAAATTCTGCAAAATGACATAACACTGTCATAAATATTTGTCAAGAACAGGAAAAAAGAAACAATGCTACAGTGATAGATATATCTCCTTGATATCCATGAAATAATAATTTAAATATAACAAAATTTTCTCCTTTTTAAAATCAAAATACAGAAAAAAATTAAAATATTATAAATGTAAACAATTTTAAAATAAACTACATGTATTTGTGAAAAATTTTAATTTAAGTAGATTACTAAACTGGTCTTATCATTCCTACTAAATTAACAACCTTACAATTTCCAAGTGTCATGTTTTAAACTGTTACAATAGATATAATTTTATCCTGCAACTACCCCTTGCATTGACCTAATAAAGGTAACCTAATAAACCAAAGCTTTATCCGGTCACTGCCCTAATAAAGCCTCGTGTATGTATTCCGACGTTCTAAAAGCATTGTGACGTCATGTATATTGCAATGTTTACGCCATGGCGTCATAGTTTCAACTGCAGGGATGTGCCTAAATCTGTCGGAAATAGCTTGTTTTGGACGTTTAAATGTAAGATTCTGTTGCAGGATAAACAAAATACATGATAACTGTCTTGAAATATAAGCGATATTTGGGCTCGGGTCGAAAAGGTAAGAGGGCTCGGCAAGCCTCGCCCTCTATCACGTTTTCTTACCCTCGCCCAAATATCGCTTATATTTCAAGACAGTAACCATGTATTTTATATTATACATGTTCACTGCAGCTTTATGTACAAAACTCATCAGTTTTCAGAAATACTCATTTGAGCATATTAGGTCCTGGTAAGAACAAAATTTAATGTATAAAAATATTAATCTTAATTGTTCATGTATTAATTTCCTTGCAATTTTACCCTTTTAAGAAACTTGTTACATGTAAGTATAGACAAAGGCAACCTTCAATTAATACCTATGATGTATACTTTTATTTTACTGAAAACAATTTCAAAGATGGACAAACAGAGCATGCACTGCAATCATCACATACACATATTTTCTAAATATATGGAAAACAGCATATATATACTATATAGGATGTGGTTAAACATTAAATTTTCTTCTATAATCTATAGACATATAAAAATATGCATTGGGTATAACAAGTCAGAAGTTCTTCTCCAAATCTCCATTGATTTTGCCATGCCTGGTTCAACATCTTAGCTTGATCCATCCAACTTTCTTTAATATTCTTGAGCTGATATGGGATGTCTCTACTTTGATGGATGACACAAATCTTTTAAGGAAACACTGAAGTACTTTTTTTTGGTTCTTATCTATTCCAATATTAATGACCCATGATCTGAAATCATATGTGTTCATTTTTACAATAACATTTAAGGAATTGCATTTTTGGAATTGCATAAGGAATTGCACTGAGTTTCATTCACTCACTGAAATGAATAAATTTCCAATATAATCAATGAAGAATCAATATGAAATTATTGTAAAATTTACAGATTGAATTAGTGAAATGCAAATGCTTGATCAAGAAAGTTAATGTTCTTGTCATGCACAATCTGTGTCTCTTTTTTATTAATTAGAAAATGAGATATTAATTAAAATCAAACATCAAACCTCATTTAAAAAGGTAACTTGAACAATTGAATACCTGTTTCAATAATGTTACAAATATTATGCCTAAAAAGCAAGGATTTTATTTTTCATAATTTTTGAATTAATGCATTTTTATTTTTTGGCAATGTTGGGATATTAGTCACATCCTGACATCCTTGTACCGTTTATTCATCGTTTTTAAAGCCGTAGTCAGTAGATCATTCATAACTTTCAGTAAGATGAATAGTTAAATAATTACCTGATGAAAATACTATCAACAATCAAACTGTCAACATCATCATTGGACATGGTCAAATGCACCGTGACTTTTCTTCTCTGTTCGGACTGCATAATACTTTACAGGATACTCTCAGGTCTTTTCTTTTTTCTTTCCCATTCTCACTTAAAATTTTAGTGTAGTGGTGAAGCGAGAAACACACAACAGCACAATGCGTCAATGACTTTCTTCTGATCGAAATGGCCTTGTAACTTGCCATGTTCCGTATCGAAAATAAACAAGTCCTCCTTTATTGGTTCATCCACATGCATCACGCTAATCTCAAAGGCTTCTAAGATTCCTATGCTTTGATTTGTTATAAGACTTTCTCCTGAAAACGTCCTTTGTTTTTAGTCCTAACAATAAGTGACAACAAACATCAAGTATGACAGAGGAAATTCGTTACCGAGATGCTTAGCATCGCTGGTTTAAATTCGCCTGTTTCAAACGCTTTGGTGATTCGCAAGAGTTATCTCCCTGTAAACGCAAACCTTACCTTAAATTTAATACGGGCCGAGCACCGGAATATTTGACAAATAGTGTCCCCAATAAGCGTGAACATGTATCCACATAAAATACCCGTAACAAACAAGATTTTATTGTTCCTGAGTGTAAATTAGAGTTATTCAGAAACTCATTCGTACCTGACCCTACAAAACAATGGAACCTATTAAAAACAGAGACCATAGAAGCCGTTTCAATCAAAATACTTCGTAAAAACTTGCTAGCAAAAAATGATAATCTACCATCATACCTTTTCTTTAGGTAGGCGAAACACAAATATCATTCATACGGAGTTAAGACATTACTGTATATATACTTAACCATGATCTATATAAACGAAAAATTGAAAGTTGTCGATTATGTTTATGTGGAAAAAATGAAGATGTGTACCATTTCTTTTTTGCATGCACAAATTATTCTAATGCTAGAAGTACTCTTTTTAATCGTTTGTTCATGCTTGATTTGGTTTCTATTGATACTAATGTTTTATTATGTGGTGATAATAATTTGCCTTTCCAGATAAATACTATACTCAGTATTTGCTGCTGTGTGGCAACCACTATTGAAATAACGACCACTATTGAAATAATTATATCAAAAGTGGTTGCAAGTGCATTTCAATAGCAAACATAGTAAGTAACCACTATTGAAATACAACCACCATTGAAATAATTATATCAATAGTGGTTGAGAGTACATTTCAATAACAAACATAGTTAGTAACCATTATTGAAATACAACCACTAGTGAAATAATTATATCAATAGTTGTTGAGAGTGCATTTCAGTAACAAACATAGTTTGTGACCACTATTGACATTTGACCACTAATGAAATAATTATATCAATAGTGGTTGAGAGCGCATTTCAATGGCAAACATAGTTAGTAACCCCTATTGAAATACCAACACCACTGAAATTATTACTTCAATAGTGGTTAAGAGTGCATTTCAATAACAAACATAGATATTAACCACTATTGAAATACGACCACTTATGAAATAATTACTTCAATAGTGGGTGAGAGAGCATTTCAATGTGATACCCATAGCTTTCAACCACTATAGAAATACGAGCACTATTGAAATAATTATCTAATAGCGGGGAAGAGTCATTTTCAATATGATTACCATAGGTTTCAACCACTATTGAAATACGACCAGTATCGAAAGAAAAGTTTCACCGCGTAATTTTTAATTTTTCATCCAAAATTTTACAAGAATTGGATTTGAAGTGGAAAAAATTTAGGTTAATAATGTAAGTGTATAAATTAATAAGGAAGGTTTACAATTTTACAATTACTTTATATTCTAGAAATATATTATTTTCATCATTTTCAATGAAATCAGACCTAAAATATATACCAATCCATGCATCCATATTTTGTTTGTATCATCTATCCTTAAATTAAGATATAGATAGGTATTTAATTTATAATTTCAAAAGTGGTTTAAATAATTATTTTGATAGTTGCTGATAATATTACAAAACTAAAACCATAATTTAATCTATAATGAAATCTTTATTTCAAAAGTGAACATTATTTCAATAGTGGTTGCAACCTATGTTTGTTATTGAATTGAATCTCATCCACTATTGAAATAATTATATCAATAGTAGTCGTATTTCAGTAGTGATTATTACATATGTGTTTTATTAACATACACTCTCAACCATTATTCGTGTAATTATTTCAATAGTGGTCGTATTTCAATAGTGGTTACTAACTATGTTTGCTATTGAAATGCACTTCAACCACTATTAATATAATTATTTCAATAGTGGTCGAATTCCAATAGTGGTTACTAACTATGTTTGTTTTTGAAATGCTCTGAGGGACTCTCAACTACTATTGATATAATTATTGCAATAGTGGTCGTTATTTCAATATTGGTTGCAACACTGCTAATCATAAATTTATTGTTGAAACTTGTAGATTTTCTAAATGATTTATTTTACATTATATTGTATCTATTTTTGCATGTATCAATTGTATTATTTTTCTTTTAGCATGACATATTGTATTATATAAGGATAAGAACCCAGTGAGTTATTTAGAACTTGTTTCTGATCCTTTTGATTGATATCAATACTATGTTCAAAACAAAGTTAAAAATTTACCTTCTTCCATATCCAACATATATTTCAAGGTTCCAGGTTTTTCTGGTTTTATGTGTTCTACTTCTTTTGCTCCTATCATTTAATTATAATCGTTATCAAAATCCAATATTCAAAGTACAACAGCCTAACTACCACAAATTGAAAAACGAATCTGAACGATACTCGATATATACAAAATAAAATGTAAATTGGGTTTTCCTGTTATAGCACATCTTCATGCACACAATCAGATCTTTTTTTAAGCATAACGCACTTGTTTTACAGGATGTAGCAGAAATGAATAGAAATTCAGTTTTTGACTCGCATTTGTATGCTACATGTACAGGTTTCTCCTTTTTAATTATTTTCATTCAATTAGTTTAAGGTTCATAAACCCTCTGTTCACTCATATGAAATTTTTCTTCAACTCTTTTGATTTTCCAAAGGAAATGTATATGCCGAATGAAATACAAAAAATAATAGCATGGCTTGCGAGGCAAAATTTGACAAAAAGGCACTTAAACTTGACAGATTTATAAAGAAATAATAGAAATTTGTGTAATTAAGAGTTATCTCTCTTACCAGAGTATCAATGTACCTTAATTAGAGGAATGCGTAAATTTGCAAAATGACCCTACCTTTGTAAACTTTGAGTTCACATGCCTTCCATGTGACTGTCTTTGGATGTATTTGAAAGATACCTAAGAATGTTTGGTTCAACAAAATTTTAGAAATGCAATTCCTAAAATGTTTGCCTCTTTCGGAAAAATCATTTAACAGTTTCTCCATACTCTTCTCATCAGCAAAAGAAAAAACGAAACAGACACATCCATTGATGATTTGAACCTTTGTTGCATTATATCTTTGCTGGACTGAGGATATTAATTCAAACATTTCCACTCCACATTTTATTAAAGTTGTTGAAGTTGTAAAGATTATAACAGAAAACAAATAAAAGCTGAAGAGTGAAGACCAAACATTTGAACATCAGTCGAAACCGGTCAACAAAATAAATTAACTGCTGCATTCTCACAAAGCTTTGGTGATCTGTTTTATATCTTTTAAGTGATATTTTATAATCCAGATGTCTATGTCATTATTCGTGTAATTATTTCAATAGTGGTCGTATTTCAATAGTGGTTACTAACTATGTTTGCTATTGAAATGCACTTCAACCACTATTAATATAATTATTTCAATAGTGGTCGAATTCCAATAGTGGTTACTAACTATGTTTGTTTTTGAAATGCACTGAGGGACTCTCAACTACTATTGATACAATTATTGCAATAGTGGTCGTTATTTCAATATTGGTTGCAACACTGCTAATCATAAATTTATTGTTGAAACTTGTAGATTCTCTAAATGATTTATTTTACATTATATTGTATCTATTTTTGCATGTATCAATTGTATTATTTTTCTTTTAGCATGACATATTGTATTATATAAGGATAAGAACCCAGTGAGTTATTTAGAACTTGTTTCTGATCCTTTTGATTGATATCAATACTATGTTCAAAACAAAGTTAAAAATTTACCTTCTATTGTGTTATTACCCAGCCCTGATTCAGCTGTAGCTTCTAACATTGGTAGTGCCTCTAGGTCGTCTAACTCGATATCTATTTGAGAAAATTTCAAGTTATTTCGACTTTTATCTGTCTTCTTGCCATTTGATCTTTTTGTAAAGATTATAACAGAAAACAAATAAAAGCTGAAGAGTGAAGACCAAACATTTGAACATCAGTCGAAACCGGTCAGCAAAATAAATTAACTGCTGCATTCTCACAAAGCTTTGGTGATCTGTTTTATATCTTTTAAGTGATATTTTATAATCCAGATGTCTATGTCATTATTCGTGTAATTATTTCAATAGTGGTCGTATTTCAATAGTGGTTACTAACTATGTTTGCTATTGAAATGCACTTCAACCACTATTAATATAATTATTTCAATAGTGGTCGAATTCCAATAGTGGTTACTAACTATGTTTGTTTTTGAAATGCACTGAGGGACTCTCAACTACTATTGATATAATTATTGCAATAGTGGTCGTTATTTCAATATTGGTTGCAACACTGCTAATCATAAATTTATTGTTGAAACTTGTAGATTCTCTAAATGATTTATTTTACATTATATTGTATCTATTTTTGCATGTATCAATTGTATTTTTTTTTCTTTTAGCATGACATATTGTATTATATAAGGATAAGAACCCAGTGAGTTATTTAGAACTTGTTTCTGATCCTTTTGATTGATATCAATACTATGTTCAAAACAAAGTTAAAAATTTACCTTCTTCCATATACAACATATATTTCAAGGTTCCAGGTTTTTCTGGTTCTATGTCTTCTTCTTCTTTTGCTCCTATCATTTAATTATAATCGTTATCAAAATCCAATATTCAAAGTACAACAGCCTAACTACCACAAATTGAAAAACGAATCTGAACGATACTCGATATATACAAAATAAAATGTAAATTGGGTTTTCCTGTTATAGCACATCTTCATGCACACAATCAGATCTTTTAAGCATAACGCACTTGTTTTACAGGATGTAGCAGAAATGAATAGAAATTCAGTTTTTGACTCGCATTTGTATGCTACATGTACAGGTTTCTCCTTTTTAATTACTTTCATTCAATTAGTTTAAGGTTCATAAACCCTCTGTTCACTCATATGAAAATTTTCTTCAACTCTTTTGATTTTCCAAAGGAAATGTATATGCTGAATGAAATACAAACAATAATAGCATGGCTTGCGAGGCAAATTTTGACAAAAAGGCACTTAAACTTGGCAGATTTATAAAGAAATAATAGAAATTTGTGTAATTATGATTTATCTCTCTTACCAGAGTATCAATGTACTTTAATTAGAGGAATGCGTAATTTTGCAAAATGACCCTACCTTTGTAAACTTTGAGTTCACATGCCTTCCATGTGACTGTCTTTGGATGTATTTGAAAGATACCTAAGAATGTTTGGTTCAACAAAATTTTAGAAATGCAATTCCTAAAATGTTTGCCTCTTTCGGAAAAATCATTTAACAGTTTCTCCATACTCTTCTCATCAGCAAAAGAAAAAACGAAACAGACACATCCATTGATGATTTGAACCTTTGTTGCATTATATCTTTGCTGGACTGAGGATATTAATTCAAACATTTCCACTCCACATTTTATTAAAGTTGTTGAAGTTGTAAAGATTATAACAGAAAACAAATAAAAGCTGAAGAGTGAAGACCAAACATTTGAACATCAGTCGAAACCGGTCAACAAAATAAATTAACTGCTGCATTCTCACAAAGCTTTGGTGATCTGTTTTATATCTTTTAAGTGATATTTTATAATCCAGATGTCTATGTCATTATTCGTGTAATTATTTCAATAGTGGTCGTATTTCAATAGTGGTTACTAACTATGTTTGCTATTGAAATGCACTTCAACCACTATTAATATAATTATTTCAATAGTGGTCGAATTCCAATAGTGGTTACTAACTATGTTTGTTTTTGAAATGCACTGAGGGACTCTCAACTACAATTGATACAATTATTGCAATAGTGGTCGTTATTTCAATATTGGTTGCAACACTGCTAATCATAAATTTATTGTTGAAACTTGTAGATTCTCTAAATGATTTATTTTACATTATATTGTATCTATTTTTGCATGTATCAATTGTATTATTTTTCTTTTAGCATGACATATTGTATTATATAAGGATAAGAACCCAATGAGTTATTTAGAACTTGTTTCTGATCCTTTTGATTGATATCAATACTATGTTCAAAACAAAGTAAAAAATTTACCTTCTATTGTGTTATTACCCAGCCCTGGTTCAGCTGTCTCATCTAACATTGGTTGTGCCTCTAGGTCGTCTAACTCGATATCTATTTGAGAAAATTTCAAGTTATTTCGACTTTTATCTGTCTTCTTGCCATTTGATCTTTTTGTAAAGATTATAACAGAAAACAAATAAAAGCTGAAGAGTGAAGACCAAACATTTGAACATCAGTCGAAACCGGTCAACAAAATAAATTAACTGCTGCATTCTCACAAAGCTTTGGTGATCTGTTTTATATCTTTTAAGTGATATTTTATAATCCAGATGTCTATGTCATTATTCGTGTAATTATTTCAATAGTGGTCGTATTTCAATAGTGGTTACTAACTATGTTTGCTATTGAAATGCGCTCTTAACCACTATTGATATAATTATTTCAATAGTGGTCGAATTTCAATAGTGGTTACTAACTATGTTTGTTTTTGAAATGCACTGAGGGACTCTCAACTACTATTGATATAATTATTGCAATAGTGGTCGTTATTTCAATATTGGTTGCAACACTGCTAATCATAAATTTATTGTTGAAACTTGTAGATTCTCTAAATGATTTATTTTACATTATATTGTATCTATTTTTGCATGTATCAATTGTATTATTTTTCTTTTAGCATGACATATTGTATTATATAAGGATAAGAACCCAGTGAGTTATTTAGAACTTGTTTCTGATCCTTTTGATTGATATCAATACTATGTTCAAAACAAAGTTAAAAATTTACCTTCTTCCATATACAACATATATTTCAAGGTTCCAGGTTTTTCTGGTTCTATGTCTTCTTCTTCTTTTGCTCCTATCATTTAATTATAATCGTTATCAAAATCCAATATTCAAAGTACAACAGCCTAACTACCACAAATTGAAAAACGAATCTGAACGATACTCGATATATACAAAATAAAATGTAAATTGGGTTTTCCTGTTATAGCACATCTTCATGCACACAATCAGATCTTTTAAGCATAACGCACTTGTTTTACAGGATGTAGCAGAAATGAATAGAAATTCAGTTTTTGACTCGCATTTGTATGCTACATGTACAGGTTTCTCCTTTTTAATTACTTTCATTCAATTAGTTTAAGGTTCATAAACCCTCTGTTCACTCATATGAAAATTTTCTTCAACTCTTTTGATTTTCCAAAGGAAATGTATATGCTGAATGAAATACAAACAATAATAGCATGGCTTGCGAGGCAAATTTTGACAAAAAGGCACTTAAACTTGGCAGATTTATAAAGAAATAATAGAAATTTGTGTAATTATGATTTATCTCTCTTACCAGAGTATCAATGTACTTTAATTAGAGGAATGCGTAATTTTGCAAAATGACCCTACCTTTGTAAACTTTGAGTTCACATGCCTTCCATGTGACTGTCTTTGGATGTATTTGAAAGATACCTAAGAATGTTTGGTTCAACAAAATTTTAGAAATGCAATTCCTAAAATGTTTGCCTCTTTCGGAAAAATCATTTAACAGTTTCTCCATACTCTTCTCATCAGCAAAAGAAAAAACGAAACAGACACATCCATTGATGATTTGAACCTTTGTTGCATTATATCTTTGCTGGACTGAGGATATTAATTCAAACATTTCCACTCCACATTTTATTAAAGTTGTTGAAGTTGTAAAGATTATAACAGAAAACAAATAAAAGCTGAAGAGTGAAGACCAAACATTTGAACATCAGTCGAAACCGGTCAACAAAATAAATTAACTGCTGCATTCTCACAAAGCTTTGGTGATCTGTTTTATATCTTTTAAGTGATATTTTATAATCCAGATGTCTATGTCATTATTCGTGTAATTATTTCAATAGTGGTCGTATTTCAATAGTGGTTACTAACTATGTTTGCTATTAAAATGCACTTCAACCACTATTAATATAATTATTTCAATAGTGGTCGAATTCCAATAGTGGTTACTAACTATGTTTGTTTTTGAAATGCACTGAGGGACTCTCAACTACAATTGATACAATTATTGCAATAGTGGTCGTTATTTCAATATTGGTTGCAACACTGCTAATCATAAATTTATTGTTGAAACTTGTAGATTCTCTAAATGATTTATTTTACATTATATTGTATCTATTTTTGCATGTATCAATTGTATTATTTTTCTTTTAGCATGACATATTGTATTATATAAGGATAAGAACCCAATGAGTTATTTAGAACTTGTTTCTGATCCTTTTGATTGATATCAATACTATGTTCAAAACAAAGTTAAAAATTTACCTTCTATTGTGTTATTACCCAGCCCTGGTTCAGCTGTATCATCTAACATTGGTTGTGCCTCTAGGTCGTCTAACTCGATATCTATTTGAGAAAATTTCAAGTTATTTCGACTTTTATCTGTCTTCTTGCCATTTGATCTTTTTGTAAAGATTATAACAGAAAACAAATAAAAGCTGAAGAGTGAAGACCAAACATTTGAACATCAGTCGAAACCGGTCAGCAAAATAAATTAACTGCTGCATTCTCACAAAGCTTTGGTGATCTGTTTTATATCTTTTAAGTGATATTTTATAATCCAGATGTCTATGTCATTATTCGTGTAATTATTTCAATAGTGGTCGTATTTCAATAGTGGTTACTAACTATGTTTGCTATTGAAATGCACTTCAACCACTATTAATATAATTATTTCAATAGTGGTCGAATTCCAATAGTGGTTACTAACTATGTTTGTTTTTGAAATGCACTGAGGGACTCTCAACTACTATTGATATAATTATTGCAATAGTGGTCGTTATTTCAATATTGGTTGCAACAATGCTAATCATAAATTTATTGTTGAAACTTGTAGATTCTCTAAATGATTTATTTTACATTATATTGTATCTATTTTTGCATGTATCAATTGTATTATTTTTCTTTTAGCATGACATATTGTATTATATAAGGATAAGAACCCAATGTGTTATTTAGAACTTGTTTCTGATCCTTTTGATTGATATCAATACTATGTTCAAAACAAAGTTAAAAATTTACCTTCTTCCATATCCAACATATATTTCAAGGTTCCAGGTTTTTCTGGTTTTATGTGTTCTACTTCTTTTGCTCCTATCATTTAATTATAATTGTTATCAAATCCAATATTCAAAGTACAACAGCCTAACTACCACAAATTGAAAAACGAATCTGAACGATACTCGATATATACAAAATAAAGTGTAAATTGGGTTTTCCTGTTATAGCACATCTTCATGCACACAATCAGATCTTTTAAGCATAACGCACTTGTTTTACAGGATGTAGCAGAAATGAATAGAAATTCAGTTTTTGACTCGCATTTGTATGCTACATGTACAGGTTTCTCCTTTTTAATTACTTTCATTCAATTAGTTTAAGGTTCATAAACCCTCTGTTCACTCATATGAAATTTTTCTTCAACTCTTTTGATTTTCCAAAGGAAATGTATATGCTGAATGAAATACAAACAATAATAGCATGGCTTGTGAGGCAAAATTTGACAAAAAGGCACTTAAACTTGGCAGATTTATAAAGAAATAATAGAAATTTGTGTAATTAAGAGTTATCTCTCTTACCAGAGTATCAATGTACCTTAATTAGAGGAATGCGTAAATTTGCAAAATGACCATACCTTTGTAAACTTTGAGTTCACATGCCTTCCATGTGACTGTCTTTGGATGTATTTGAAAGATACCTAAGAATGTTTGGTTCAACAAAATTTTAGAAATGCAATTCCTAAAATGTTTGCCTCTTTCGGAAAAATCATTTAACAGTTTCTCCATACTCTTCTCATCAGCAAAAGAAAAAACGAAACAGACACATCCATTGATGATTTGAACCTTTGTTGCATTATATCTTTGCTGGACTGAGGATATTAATTCAAACATTTCCACTCCACATTTTATTAAAGTTGTTTGAATGTTTGGATCTTGATCTATTGTTCTGATAAACTCAATAAGAAGATCCGTTTCTTTTGCATCTTCTAGGTCATTAATCATGCCTTTGACATGCTGTTTGATTTTATCCTTAGTCCATGTTTCGGCAGGATTTACCAGACTCTTTGTGAGAAAATTCATTGAGCATTTCAGCATTACTCTTTTGTTCTTTTCCGTTGTATCTACATCTATCTTAGCCATCGCCTGGTGGTTACTGTCTGAAATAAATAGCAATAACTTAAAAAGTCTAAAGAAATTCTGTCAGGGGTTCTTTTCTCTCTCTTTTTTTCCCTTAAATTAAAGCTGCAACTTTTATAAAAATTTTATAAAATTTTCCTTGTTATTGAAATGTTCATAATTATGTTGCATTGCATTAAAATAAATGATCAAATTAATAGTAAGTGCATATTTGAAAATCACAATATGAAAAATTTCCACATTTTTAAAGCTTTGAGCACATGTACATGATGTGTTAAGAAAACAATATTGATTATTGTTTGTTTTCATACTGCTACATGTAATTTTAATAACAGCTTTTGAATAAATACCTAGCTGATGCAAAACATGGAAATTTGACTCCACAAAGTTGGTATATAATTGATTGGAAAGAATCACAGTATAAATCTTAAAGGTGCATAGACAAAAATTTGAAGTTAATATTTTCTGTATAACATTACGACTTACATATTTTAATAACATTTCACATGAAAATATATTCAAAAACTTATTTTATCGAAAAATTATTAAAACTTCCAATTTTTGGACACATGCAATTGTGTACATTTCAAGGGTATGTTCAATTCCCTAAACTCTGTACAGAGTACTAAGCGCGGAATGTTAGTGTATATCTTGTGCTACTTGTGCTACCATCATCTTGTAATTCATTTTCACCTCTTGGTTGCGGTAGGTTTTGATTAACTGGATTGGCTTCTGGGGCTGCAATGATAAGTAAAATAAAAACATCAAGAATTCTGGAAACTGATGCTCACTAGTACGATCTCCATTCTTATGCAACAGACAGACAGACAATGGAAAATAGTATATACTGCTCTAGATCTCCTTTGAAAAAGGGGTATAAATTAAATTCTTAACACTTAAAATATATCCTAGTGTAAAAAAAAAAAATTAAAGGTTCCTTTGCATTATTTATCATTATCTTTTCAATAGAAAAGAATAATTTTGAACTTTAAAAAAAAATATCATTATCAATGTCTTTTAGCTCTATTGTTTGAAACAGACCTGAAATAAAGGGTATATATTATTATTCTAAGTTAAAGAAATTAGAATGAAAAATTTGTCTGAACACAAAAAGAAAAGAACAATGTTTGATCAACCCTTTGAAGTTATTAAACATAAAATAATGCAATAGCTGAATAAAAAGTATTTTCTTCTATTTGAAAAATCTATCTTAAAGTAAATATTACAAGACCGCTCTTTAGATCTAATACCTGATGCTCTGTCAATATCAGCTAACACTGATAATTTATAATTGTATGTTTGAAAAATTCAAATCAAATGAAGAATTTTTTTCAACAAACCTCGTCTTCTTCTTGGGCGGCGCATAAAGTAAATTAGTAACAGTACAGTAGCCGTACCCCCAATTATGAGAATCACGACAACTATTACTATGACGACCGAGTTCCTGAAAGATTGAAACACAAGGTTAAATCTTTAGGCGAAAGATACTTAGTGTATAGCAAATAAGTAATTCAGAGGATCATTGATTTTAAAAGTTTAAAGCAATGAAAACATTTCTCTGACTATTTTATTTTTTTTTTAACTATTATCAAGAATGTTATTCTAATATACAGCTCTCATTCACGGTTATCTTTTATACTTATCAACCTGCCCTGTCAATCTAATACTGAGTATGAATCAAATGATTTTCATTAAAAGTTTAGAAATGTTCAAATGCAATAGGACAATCTCATCTCTCTTCCTCTACCTACATTTGTATCTTTTAACATGTTCAAAGGGGCATATTAGACACAGTTTCAGCTAAAATTTCAAAATTTATTTTTCCATTTTTACAAATATTTAACAAGGGTCTTTCTAATATTCCATCAAAAATGTGAACGCCAGTTGTCCAGTTACAAGACAGATTTAGAGCTCCAAACAAGCCTAGTGTCATGTTTTTGTTTACACAGGTTAATATACTAATATATGTTTGTTCAAAGTAGATATTTCAAATAAAAGTTAATTTTAAATACGAATCGACAGTTACTATTGATTTGCTGAACTTCATTTTGATATTAATATGACATTTTCTAAAACAAAAAAAAAAAAACCCCGAGCCTTGTTTACATTTTGAGGAACTTAAAGTTTTGTATCTTGTTTGTTAATCAACAAGTGATGTTCAAATTTTTACTAATCAATAGATGGTGCCTTAGGTAGAAATTGTAAACATTAACACTGGGGTTGAAAAATCAGTTGAAACTGTGTTCAGGTCCCTTTAATGCTTAGCCTTACTTCTTTTGAGTTTCTATAACTTACATGTCATCTGATTGCTCCTTTATTTCACCTTTGGTGATGGAATTGCTTGTTCTATTAAAGTAGTAGATATGTATCATCAATTTGATTTTTTTTCAAAATTATTTTAAACTTATTACTATACATCATTTGAAATATTGCATAAATAAAAGATTGATACCTTTTTGTGGCCTCTGTAGTATAAATCTGTTTTTCTGTTGGGATGCAGTGCCGATCTGCTCAAAAATATAGTTTCATTTGTGAGATTATATTTGTAAAAAATCTTTCCATAAAAAAAAAACGCCAATGACACTAGTTAATTAATTATTATCCTTTTGTCCTGCCCAAAAATGTTGATATTTCTCATATAATATTTTGCATTTAAAATATCAAAAGGTTTGTATTAAAAAAAAACTTGAAAAATGCTAATTTCTCTAGCTGCTTTTACCTTTTGAGTTAGCATATATTTATCAATAAAACTATTACTACGATATAACTGAAGATAAAATCAAAATAAAAACATACACTTATATGAAGTGGTAGAGTGGTAGGAGAATGGGCATCCTGCTGTGTCATTCCCACAAGTCATGTTGTCTACCCTCATAATGCTCTGGAGAGTGGTGCTGAACATAGCACAGGCATGTCCTAGAAAGAGTGTGAGACAACATAACAAATGAAAATTATTGTTATTTAAATATGCAAATACACATAATTAATAATATGAACAATTTGGTCACCCGAGACTGATACACATGAAAATTCAATCAGTGGTTTTGGTATATTTGTTACAATCATGTTCTGTTAATTAACAAGATGATAAAAAAAGGACTTTCTCAAGAAATTCAATCATTTTTTTTATTTCAATTGCAAGCTTATGACAATTACAAAGAACTTCAACCGGAAAATTCCGACAAGAGACAATTGACAGTTTATATGAAGATAAATTAATTAAAACACGACTGTATATACCCCTCAATAATATACAATAATCACTGTTTTGAGGTCAATATGATAATTTAGCAAACTGAAGTTTGGAATTTTTAAAAATCTTCTTAGAAAAATCGTTGCATTTTAAATGCTGTTTGAAATTTGATATTTTTTTCCAAAGACAAGCAAGGGCACCGCTAGGCGGAGCAAACCCTCGTGACAGCATCTTCACTGCTAATGGCAATATCTCATGAGAGATAAATTCTCTCGAGGGACGTTAAACATGTTAAAGATTGATAGTACAATGTATTCAGTTTAATGTCCCTCTAACAAATTTTTTGCTCATATGAAGGCCTTGTAGCAACCTCTAATGATAAAACGCCGCTTAATGATACAAATAGCATTAAGAGTTGCAATTGCAACGCTAAATGCCATAAATTATTGCATTAATAGCTGACATTATCAACCGCTAATGCTAAATCGCCGTTAAATGACAGAATTATATCATTAAGCGTCACAAATGCAGTGCAACATCGACGCTTAAAGAAACAAGCAAATATCGACATATTCGACGCTTAATGATACACACTGATGTATCATTAAGCGTTGCAGTTGCAACCCTTAATGATATAAAATTTCGAAATCGCTTGTAATATCTAAGAGAAACACACATCCACCTTTCCTGAACAATGCGATATCACTTGTGAAATTACTTATATATGCCCTTGTGCTATATAAATAGTAATTATTTAAGTTTTACTGTGTTTTCTATCTAGTCAAGGGAGCGTCTTAAACCCCGGATGTTTAAGAGATAGCTGGAAGAATGAGATACAAACAAAGGGATAAATAAAATAATATTCAAATCCTTTAAAAAACTGAAAATCTGAGAATACAGAGGCAAACAAGCAATTAAATTCCTTTTAAATTTATACAATGATTTGAATAGTCAACCTGAAATATATATATGTTTTAGATTTGATACAGCTTAACACATATCACTGTTAACGTTTCAGATATACGTATTGAGATTTTCACTATTGCTTCGTTTCTCCAAAATCCGAAAAAGAGAGACATCAATATTGACATCTTATGTTTAAAGACCCAATTTTTTTATCGTACGGTTACCTGAGGAGGGGGAGTGGTCAAAGAAACAGTGATGTTATTTACCTGGAGACCCCCAATACCCAAGATGTCAAAAATCTGTGTATATGTAGCATTACACAGGAAGTCTGTGTTCGGTAATCAGGGGTCAACATTACGTGTTTTGTGTCTGGTTTTGAGTGAAACTACGTAAAATAATTATTTTAATATGGAATTTATTTGTAAACTAAACGCTTTTATCGTAATCATGATAATGTTTTGAAGGGGGAAAAAAATAAGATTCATGTATATCGTTTTAGAAAATGTTTTCCTTACAAGAAAAATTCACCAGTAAAAACTACAAATCTTTTTTTAATCTTCAATAAAAGAAATCACTTGATTAAAAAAGTCTGACAATTGAAATAAAAAAAATACTGATCCACCTATTCGTCGTGCATGTGAACATGTATTTACCGCGATCGGAATGTTTTTTTTTTATGGCCAACAATGTTGTTAAAACTTATCCATATTTTTTATTTTTCGTGTGTTAACAAAATTTTATTTTTAGAAAGATTTCTTTTCAGAATCGATTTCTATAGTTATCTTCACATTTTCATTACGTATATAAGCTAGAGGAAATTTGACATCAAATTTCTGTGCTACATCGTGCGGATTGTAGCCGTAGTGCAAAATAAAACATCTTTTAAAAACTATGCTTTGTCGTTTATTAGTGCTGAATATTTTTCTTCTATCCCATTTCTAAAAAAAAAAATAATTTAGTTCGTCGGACTTCTAATTACGGCGGTAATTAGAGCCGGTTTCTGTGGACGCGGTCTTTTTTTCTACAGATAAACGTGGACGATATAACACTTACAAGTAACAAACAGAAACAAACAGAAATGAAGATAGAAAAAGAAATATTTTATTATGTCAATCTACTTTCAATTATTTTTTTAAATAAAATTCAAACATATTGGAGTTTTCTAATCCGCATGTATACTATGCGGGTACATGAAAGCGTTTGACGCGTGACCAGGTAATTGTTTTCAAAACATGCAAACTCAGATTATCAGGAAGCACAGGTAGCTGAGCTGTCAATCAAATCAGAAGCTATTGTTTTTTTAATGATTGACAGGCGGTAAATTATTGATCTTGAATCAGGTAGATTTTGGGGGCGTCAACATAAAATTGGGTGTTTAAGGATATATAACAAAAAATACAAGTACATGGAATACATACAATATTATATATTTTGTTGAGAAAAAGGTTCATTTACGCTTTAATAGTGAGCCGTGTTACCTGAATACATCACTGTTGCATGATTATTTTATAATCAATTTTGAATTCTATTATTTATCAAATTACAATATACATATGAGGTTGAAGAGGCTGTTTTTTTTTTTATTCTTAATGACGCATATTTCATTTATAGTATATTTTTTTCTCTTTCGTTTACATCTGACTAGTATTAAAATGAAATAGATTAAAATGAATATAGTTCTTTTTTTCGGTACAAGAGAGACCCTCTCTATTAATACTAGTATTCATTAGAAGCATTTTTTTTCACTGCAAATGGGTATTGAAAGGTCGCATGAAAGGTCCGACTATGTTTTACTTGAATTGGTTAATACTTTAATAAAGTACAAAATATTCTCGTCTCATACAACTACGGCCAGATTGGGAGAGGATCGTACATTTTGACAGTGGTTAGCGACGTTCCAAAGTTTTCACATTAGCAAATCATAGTTTCAAAGTTTTTACACTGCTTCTCTAGTTAATTATATTGAACTATAGTAAACTATGTAGTTTTCTATAGTATTTCTTGTTAGGGACATGTCCGCTATCTAGCATCAGCCGTGAGTAAAAAAAAACTGTCTAAATTTCACACTTATTAGCTCACCTGAGCCAAAGGCTCAAGTGAGCTTTTCTGATCAAAATTTGTCCGTTGTCTGTCGTTGTCGTCGTCGTTGTTGTCGTAAACTTTTCACATTTTCATCTTCTTCTCAAGAACCACTGGGTCAATTTCAACCAAACTTGCTTCAAAGTATTCTTGGGTAAAGGGGATTCATGTTTGTTCAAACAAAAGGCCACGCCTTTTTCCAAGTGGAGATAATCATGAATTAGAGAAAAATAATGGTATTTTTTTTAAAAAAATCTTCTTCTCAAGAAACACTGGGCCAGGAAAGTTGAAACTCATGTGGAATCATCCTCATGTAGTGTAGATTCAAGTTTGTTCAAATTATGACCCCCAGGGGTATGGTGGGGTCAAAATGGCCGATCAAATTTTTACAAAGGAATATATAGGAAAAATCTTTAAAAATCTTCTTCTCAAGAACCACTAGGCCAGGAAAGATGTACTTCATGTGGAATCATCCTCAGGTAGTGTAGATTCAAATTTGTTCAAATCATGACCCCCGGGGGTAGGGTGGGGCGAAAATGGCCGATCAAAGTTTTACATAGAAATATATAGGACAAATCTTTAAAACTTCTTCTCAAGAACCACTTAGCCAGAAAAGATGAAATTCATGTGGAATCATCCTTAGGTGGTGTAGATTCAAGTTTGTTCAAATCATTGACGCCGGGGGTAGGGTTGGGCCAAAATGGCCGATCAAAGTTTTACATAGGAATATATAGGGAAAAAATCTTCTTCTCAAGAACCATTGAGACAGGAAAGATGATACTCCTGTGGAATCATCCCCAGGTAGTGTCGATTCAAATTTGTTCAAATCATGACCCCCGGGAGTAGGGTGGGGCCAAATAGCAGATAAAAGTTTAACATAGGTATATATAGGGAAACCTTTTAAAATAGTCTTTTCAAGTACTTCAAAGCCATGCTTGTTGAAATTTATAGGGAATCATCCTTAATTAGGTAGTGTAGATTCTAGTTTGTTCAAATCATGATCCCCTTGGGGGTTAAAATTCAAGCCCCCTTCCCCACCCACCACCCCCAGTAAACTTTCATTTCTGATCTGATATGTGCATTTTCCTAAACAATTGCTCAGGTGAGCGATGTGGCCCCTTGGACTCTTGTATTAAGCAGAACCGACTTACAGACGAGTAGAAATGGCACATGTATACCGAAATAGACCATTCTTTACTGACAATTGCAGTGGAGACAGACTGAAATCTTTCTAGTTAGGAATAGAATTAACAACTTTTGAAGAATATAAGACATTATTGTTTCTAATTATTCCAAACATAAAGTACAATGCTTTGAAATGCTTGGACTCTTGGTATTTAAAGCATGGCATCCTTGGCATACAAGGAAAGAAAGAAACACAGACGTCTTTCTGTATGCTGTCTAATTGGCAAAAATAAGCACGAGCTAGAGTTTTTATTGCAATGACATTTAATTCATTTTCATTTTTTATCGTTATAAAAAAAAAACAAAATTTGATTGGAAATAATAACTTGAAGACCCTGGGTAGCACATGTAATATAATGATAAAAAGAAACGTAAGTTGCATATAAAGCAAGTCTGTGGTGAAATTTTCTAAGTAAAGAGGAAAAAAATAAAAAAAAAATAATTAAAAAATCCCTAATCTTCCCCAAAACATTAAAGGGGCTTGGACACAGTTTCAACTGATTTTTATAAAACCAATTTTAATGCTTACAATTTCTACCTAAGGCATCGTCTA